ATGTATATGAAAAAAAATGAGGCACATCAACAAAGAAGCATTCAAGCATCTCCTTATAATTTCTCTAAGATATTGGAGCAAGTCAAGGTTTTCTTTCCAATCTAAGACTGATGTGGTGGTAAACATGTCTGAAACCTTTAATTGTGTTATTCTGAAGCCTAGAACAAAGCCCATTGTTACTATGATGGAAGACATAAGGATTTATTTAATAGAGAGATGGGTTGCCAATAGAAAAAAGGCAACATTGTTAACTGGAGACATATTGCCAAATATACAAAAAAAGTTACGAAAACATCAACTTAAATCAAGATGGTGGTTGCCAAGATATAACTTTTATGATATTTTAACTTTTTAATACAGATTATTTTAGTCCTCTAAGATTTAAATTAAGCTCATTTCAGTCCTCGAATTATTTAAAATGAATCATTTTAGTCTTTTAACTATTTCAAATTGATTCATTTTAGTCCTTTACCTATTTTACAATCAACTGTACTAATCCTTTACTATATCCCACATTACAACTTACATTTATTTTCATTTTTGTAAGGGGTTTGGACAACATATGTTTAAGGTCTGACATATTAATTTAAAGGGAGATAAGTTTGCGGTGAACATTGAACTAAAAGAATGTTCTTGCAGAATATGGATGCTTATTGGAATACCTTGCTATCATTCAATTGCTTACATGAACCATGTTAATATAAATCCTGCAGATTATATTCCTATTTATTATAGGAAATAACATTATGAAGTAGTTTACAAGTTTATCATATATCCAACAAATAGATCTAATTTGGGAAATATACTGACTACCCCGACATTTTATCCCCACCAATCAAGAAACAACCTGGGAGACTAAAGAAGTCAAGAAATAAAGATGCATCTGAGAAGATTGTTGAGGGAAACAAATTGAGTAGGAAAGGAATGACTGTTAAATGCAACAAATGTGAAGTAAGTGGCCATAACAAAGCTACTTGCAAAGCAACATAACCAGCTGAAACAGAGGCATCAGCAAGTCATACTTAAAGTTCAAGCACTTCCCAAGTTTCAATTGATGGTCAAACAAGAAGGAAGATGTATGCGCGAAGACGTCAACACAATTAAATGTATTATGTATGGGACAATGTGTTTTTTTTACTTTTTACTTTATGTTTTGTGCAGTTTGGTTGGAAAGCATATTTTGTGGGACTTGTATTTTGTCCTTGTTCTTTTGTTAATGTCATAACAATATATGTTAATCAATTTTTGTTCTCAGTCTTAGCGAAGATTTCTTATTCTCAAATTCATATTTCAAGATAATATATATGCTAAAAATATTATTCCATTAAAGATAGAAGAATCCATAAAAAGTAATAATACAACATCAGGACCATGACTTAATCAAAGCATTCTTTCATAGTACATTTACAAAAATTAGATCCCTAAATAACATTACTTTTTTGCTAAACAACGTGAAAAACAATAGTATTACTACTAATTCATTAATAAACACACTAATACTTAAAATACAACTTAAAGTTTAAATTTTTTTCTTGCTAATTTTGAGTAAGTTCTGAAGATGTACAATTATTCTCCTTTGCCTTAGTACAAAAATTTCATTATCTTTAACTTCATTGTCTTCCCTCTTCTTGAAAAACTCACAACCCTCACCAAACTGAAAATTGATACACTAGATTAGTAACACAAATTGGTTAAACTTATTTATACACAAATATAAAATTTAATTATTTAATCTTACAAAATTACTTCATAGTTTCTACATCCTCAAAAACTTCTTCCCATATTTGTTGTTGTAGTTGTTATGCGATAAACACTCTTCACACCATAGTAACAAAATGGATGGTCAACCTCTCTACGAGCAGACGTCATCGTCGAAGATTGTGAGTCCATCAAAACTCCAGCCTTTGTTTTGCTATTTCGAAGAGACGTAGAATTCTAATACATATGCCCTAACTCGTATAAAAGAAGAAGACACCTAATATAACATTTTTTAATTAATTTTCAAATGAAAATTTTCAGGTAGGATTAAATAAACACCGTTAGTGCCACATAGAATGCTTCTGTTACATTCTCTAACAGTTGTCACAGAAAAAACTAACGTGAAAAAAAAATAAAACTTAAAAGATTAAATTGAACAAAAAAAAAAAGATACAGAACGAAAGTGAATTTTATTCTAAAGTTACAGGATTAAAGTACTAATTTTGTCTAATTTTTAAATAAACTTATTAAATTAAGTAATGTTTCTAACTAATTTAGTATATGTGTTTGTCACAATTCTATTATAGGTCATGACATAAATTTAATAATTATTTTAAACAATTAAATTATTTTGAACTTTGATGATGATGTGTATGTTGGTTAGTTGTTACTCTCAACATAGTTTCCTCTTTTCTTACGTATTTATACTGACCTTGTCTTTTGTTTAAATGATTTAACTTCTTTTTTATATAAAAATAGTTTAAATAAATAATATTTCTTTCTAAAATATAAATGGCATAGTGACATTTAGAAATTATATCTACCAAAGTATGATTTTTTTTAAAAATTAAAAATATATGAGATTAAAAACCTTTATGAGCACTTTTTCAAAAAATATTAAAACATTATAAAAAGTCAAAATTTACTAATGACAATTTTTTAAAAATAATAATAAAATTTTAAAAATAAAAATTATCACTGAAAATTTTAAAAAAATAATAATTTTTTAAAGTACTATTTAAAAAAATTCTTATATATTTGTATTTTTTTTTTATAGATACTGGTTTTTGGTCAATTTGTTTTTCCTTTTGAGTATAAAAAAAGAGGCAGGCATATTGCTAATAATCAATGAGTTAGGACATGGCAAGTAACGGAACCCAAATGACACATGCTAGCAAGGTGGCTCAGCAGCTTGATTAACTTTGCGGTAGACATATGGCCAATAGAAACACTCCACGAAGGGTTTTTTATAAAAGGTTCTCGATACATATATTCCTCACCATGCTTACATAGCTACGCTGTAATTAGGTTCACAACAAAATCTGACAAAGTTAACTCATATCCTGCAATATGCCAAGGCCACGATGAATTCTACATTTAAAGTTTCACTGATAGCGACTTTGCATTTAATAAATACAAAAATGAGATTCTCTTTTAAAATATTAACAAAGTATTTTCACGGACACTTATCGAGGCGCTTTCGCATCCAATGTGCAAATTAATAGCCAAGTAACTTGTCAAACGATTTGCTTTCAAAATTTCAATTCTACCCGATCGGAAGTTGACATAATATTTAACTTAAACCATTGTGAATGGATACGACGTGATTAGAAATAGAAACTGTCTGATACTGTAATTTTGATGAATAATAATTATAGATATGATCAGAATAAATGTTTGAGATAAGTTAATATAACTAGGAGTGTAAATTTTTCTATTAAAAGATTAGATATGTTTTGCATATATATATCAGAATTTTTTATATAAAAATAAATCTAAAAATTTTTATATTTAATTTAAATTTTTTATTTAATTTAAATTTAACGAATTATAATTTATTATTTTAATAGTTATTAAATTTAAATTAAATATAAATTATTTTAGATTTGTGTAAGAAGATCTTTTATCTGAAGGTCGTATTGTATAAATTACAAAAGAAAGAACTGAAAGCCTGCGATTTTTCATCAAGACGTTAATTGTTACTGTGTTTTACTTCAAAATAAACATATGATATTTATAAATTTGGAAAGTTATTATATATATTTTTTAACGACAAAATCTACGATACTCTTGTAATTGAGAGTATTTAGTATTTTTTTTACATATAAAATAATTTTTATTATTAATTTTAAATTGATAAATAATGAAGTTAATAGTATAGTTTAAAAATATATTAATATTTTTTTATTTTTAATACATTAAAAAATTATTACTATTAATTTAAAAATAATATAGATACCTTTCCAGTTTACGGTCTACAGTAAGCAAGCATCTTTTTCTATTGAGAGAGAAAGTACGAAGATAATTTTAGGAGTTCTATTGATCAATATATTAAAGGACTAAAACTTACTAAAGATCTTATTAAAAATACATTAAAAATTACAATACATTTAAATTAATACAATTTTTAATAAATTTTTTCAAATTCCGTTTTCCTTTATGCGTCAAGATCTTATGACCCTGACCAATGTGATCATATTAATTCGTGGGCTAGGGTGATGTTGGATTGAGGATAAGGGTTAGCTTGCTAGAAAACTATATAGTATAAACTGATTCGTAACCGGCTATCATTTAAATAAGCATCCGAGGTATATTATAATTAAGGTAGAAGGTACAATTATACCAAACTCTCGTAAGAAAGAAAGAAATAAATAAAATCATTGGTTTCTTTTCTTTTTTTTTCCCCATTCCAATAGAACTCTGTACTCGCAGAGATGCCAGCAGACTCAGTTGTATAAGAGTGCGGATTACATGTAATTATTTCGACGGTGGGTAGTTGGCAGATGATAAATGCTACTGTTCTACAAGATGTGTAATCTCTTCTTAACAGCTAATTTTGTCCACTTAACTTCGCCCATGCATGCATGTTTATTTATCAATCAATAATCATGAACGTATAGCTAGTTTAACATTCATGCTATATATATATATATATATATATATATAACATAATTATGCTTTTATCTATAAGATATGTAGGACATGTTTTGATACACAATCATGATTTTTAATTAAAGCAGCGAATAGTAACCAAATCATCCAACATAAATAAAAATATTTTCTTCTAAGACAAAAGTATACAACAAACTCAACCGAAATATAAGAAGTCGCCACATTAATTCTTGATAATACATGCTCTATTAGCACGTACGCCATTAATTACCTTGATTTCAATATTTGACTTATTGATGCTAGCTTGAAAACAAGATAAAAAATAAAAGTTTCGATGATAAAATTAAAGGAATAATAAATTAAAAACAAGTAGATCATGCCGATGCCCAAAGTATGGTACGTAATATGAATCACTTGTGAGTGTGATTAGAAAAAGACAAAGCCTTGAAAGGCTTAACGTTGTTGACCCCAATATTCTTCTTTGAGGATGCACCAACACCGTAACTCTTTTTGTGAAAGTCAACGAACAAAACGAGAAGGGAAGCGTAGAAAGCGACATTGAAGCTCCAACCCCACACGCCAGAGCACCCAGAACCTGTAAAGTGGTAGTAAAGCATCACACCCAAAACGACGAAGCTTGAGTAAAACTGCATGATCTGAACGTTGGTGACCATTTTCTTCCACTTGGGTCGCACCCCAAGTGCGCACGACAAGTAGTAGGCGTACATTAGCACATGCACGGAGGCGTTGGTAAAAAGAACCGCGGGGAACAGTGTCTGGGAGGTTTGTAACCAGATGTAGCACATGATAACGACGGTGGAGTGGTGGTACACGTGGAGGAACGTGAGGCGTTGAATGGAGTTGCTGAGGATGATGAGGAGGGTGTCGACGAACTCGAGGATCTTGGAGAGGTAGAAGATGTAGGCCCAGAAGAAGAGAGGCCCAGTGGGCTGGGTGTGGGGAGGGAAGCAGATGATCCAGCGGAGGTGAGGTGCATGGGAGACGGTGGAGAGGAGGCAACCAAGGGCCATGATGAAGGAGAGGAGTAGGAGGGAGATGTTATGGAGGGCTGAGATGGGTTTGATGATTGCTGGGGCAATGGGTGGGAGAGAGATGATGTGGGGGAAAAAGAAGGTAGAGAAAAGGTAAGAGAGAATGGTGAGGCAGAGGAAGTGTGGGGAAGAACCAAGGGTTTTGCCTGGGGTCCATGAGAAGTTTCTTATTGTAGGATGGTTCACTAGCCAATACTCCAAAGATGAGAAAATATGAGACATTTTTTTTGTATGAAACTCAAGCACCTTGCACCACCCTTGCTATGCTATTAGTGAAAAAGGCAAGCAAGGTAGCTTCAAGTTTTGCAAGTTATGGAAATGCAAACGGCATTAAGGGGTTGTAGTAGTAATATTGATACAGCTAAGCTAACCACTATTGCGAGAGAGGGAGTCACCTCAAGAAAGGTCCCATCACGTTTAGGTATAAGAAAATTCAGTGTCCATTCCTCACTATTTAAGTTTCTCAATAAATGTCCCAATCCTGAGCAGAGGCGAAATGGTCTCCCTCACTCAGTGCTCCAGGCCACTGTGACAGTGAAGCTTCGGAGTCAATGCCATGCCCTTTTCATTTCCCTTTCTGCTTCTCTTTAATTGGCCTATTCTATATATACTATTTCTAAACTACATCTCAACTCCATTCGTTAGCTCATTAATAAACACATTCTCTAACCACAACACATTAATTATCTGTTTTATTTTACGTTTTGGGGGAATGGTCTTGTTAATCGAGCTTATGTATGTATAACTACATATTGCATTTTCTTTATCTATCAGTTACCATTAATTATATATGTACAAATTCCCTGTTAGATTTTATAAGGTAGTAGTAAAAGTTGAACTGGTGCATTTTCATTACATATCTCACAATTTTACTCACTAAATTGTTTTATGAGACTCTTCCAAACGTAGATTAATTTTCTCTTTTGAGCCAGTTTATTGAAGCATTTTCGTGTTCCTCAGATATTTGTCACTTGCAAAAGTAGAAAAGAAGATATCTACATTGCAACATTGATATTTGTGTATATATAACGGACGCGGATGAAAATCAGCACAAGGTAGGTGCTCGCTTTATGTTTTTGAAAGGGATAGACAACTAAATATTAGTTGGTTGCAGAATACGAATATCAAATTTTATCTATTAAAGAGGAATCTCAGATAGTGTCTAAGGCGATATAGTCGTAGAGTGAGAAAAGTTTATTTTGATTAAAATATATAATTAACATTAAATTTAAACATATTTTTAAAATATGATTATATACTTAAAATTTACTTCCTTCTAATGTCCTCATTAATTATTTATTTGAGTGAAATATTAATAATGTATTATTTGACGTATTTTTAATATATATTTTTTATTATTAGGTGAGAATTTGTGTCTCATTAAATAAATTGAGTTCTTTTTAATTTCTTAGAATTCACGTAAAATTTATTTAAAAAGTGCTACAAGTAACAATAATCAATAATGAGAATGGTTACCTTCATAATTTTATAAGAAGGTTGGCAATTTTCACATTTTTTTTTAGACAAAAATACTTATAACATCTTTTTTAAAGGAAAATAATTTTTCATACATTTTGATCAGTTACATTACCATTGGGGGAAGAGAGTACCAGCATTCCTCTTTACTAAAAGGAAAGTTTATTACTAATTTCAATTAATAAGAAATTTAAATTTAAATTTAAATAAACTATGTAATTATATTTAATATATATGGTTTATTCAATACATTAAACTAAAAATATTAAATACAATTATGAGACAAAACTATAACTTTGATGCAAGAAAATAGTTAGCACCTAATATGTAGCTATCATTATTTTTTGTTATATATCAATATGTTAAAAGTGTTTTAGATATGCCCTCAAAAAAGAGTGTTATGCAATATATGTTAATTTATTAATTAAAAATTATACTTTTATTAATTTATAATGTGTATTTTTGAAAAACATTTATTGAATAAAATGTATTAAATATCATTACATGATTTAAATGTAAATTAAATTATTAATAATCTTATGTGAAACTAATAATACATGAACACTCTCTACCAAAAAGTAATACATGAATACTCTCTTTTCATCAAAACTAAACTAGTATTTTCTATTTCGTTAAAATTAAATTACTTTGTTATCTTCCTTCGTAAAATGATGGAAAATGAAAATAATCAAAATATTATTAAATTTTATTAATTTTTGTAAAAAAATTATGAGTGTTTTTTTTACTGTAACAAAATGTAAAGTTTATTGACTTCCACATATCCATGTGAAAATTAACAATTCCCATTAATAAATACTGAAATCTGGGCATATGATGACATCGTTTACAATTTGAGTTACACAAGGTTTCTCTCAAATATCTCCAAGGGGCTCTTTCTCTCTCCACAAGTCTAGGAATCTGGTTCCAAGTTAACAAGAAAACATAATAGCTCAACCACCGACCGAATCATAGTTAAAAATCTTATCCTTATTCAGTTGATCCAATGAATTAAGTGTTAAATTAATCTGGTCATTCCAAAATTATACTTTAAATTTTTTTTAATGAGTTCTTTGTCGTGTGTATATATATATATATATATGGAAATAATTTTTTAAATTTAAAAATTCTTACACTCAATCTGATTATTTCATTTAACTTAAATCTAACGGTCAGTAAAATAATAAATTATAATCTATTAGATTTAAGTCAAATGAAAGGCTCAAATTGGGTGTAAGAGTTTTTATATTTACGTCGGTATAAGAAAATCATGTCTCATATATATATATATATATGTGTGTGTGCGCGCGCGCCAACTTTTGTAAATCATCTTTAATTTGTAAAATTTAATTTCAATTTTGACTTTAATTTTGATTATTATTTTGTTCAGATAAAAAAATATTTTATTAAAGAAAAACATTGTAACTCCTGACATAGGTGATGAAAAAAAATATACATCGAAAAATGGATTTGTTGTAGCTTCTTTTAGTAAAATTTGCTATAAAAGATTATTAATTTGCTTTGTTAAAAGGTCTTTAGTTAATTTTAAATTATTATCTCATAATTTAGCTATGGAGATCTCTATTTAGGTTTTAAAACTAATATTTTAAGAAAATTGCAGTATGAGTTTGTGTTTTATATTTGTTTCTTATTAATGACAAATTTCTTTGGTAGGTAAAGTATTATATAAGTTTTATGCTGAAAATATATACACATACATTAATTCTATTTATAGAAAATTTTGTTAAAATTTGTATAGAAATTTATCTTATAAGAAAATTTTTACCTTCTTTTAGAGTTCTTAGACAAGAATTCAAAATAAAATATAGTGGTCTCTATCTTGTTTGTTTTTCTTGTAAAAAATATGGAAAGAAACAAAAATTTTGTCAAAATCTTATTAGCCAAGGATAAAATCATATAAATAGTAAAAATGAAATAGTTCAAGAGTTTTAGAATATGGATTTAAAGATGTATAGTGTTGTAGTAGAAGAAAATAAAAATAATAACTTTAATAGTCTTGCGAAATATATTCCTAATAAAAATATGAATTTGCAAGTTATGACCAATAAACTTTTTGATAACTCATTAAGCTCAAAAATTTGAGATTTGACTAATCTCAAATTAGGAGGAAAGTAAAGATAATAAAAATTCTTTAAACCCTTATATCTCGTTCATATACATCTTCAAAAGAACATTAATTTTGTACAAACTAAATATAATCAATTTTAAAAAAATATTTTATGAATCTTAAAAATTTGAAAACTAGTAAGAAAGCTTAAAAAATAAAAATCAACTATAAATCTAAAAAAAAAATTGCACAAATCAAAAAGTAATTACTCTTAATAAAAAAGAATAATTTATATAGTAACTCTAATATAGATAATGAAATCTCCTATGATCATAACACGGAGCATGTTATTAGAGCTTACTATTATCTTTAGAATATAATAAATACTTCCTCTTCGAATTTATAAATGGTTTGTTTTTTTTTTTTTTAGAACTATAGAAGAGCTAATAATAAATTTTTTACTGAACTAGTGAATGACATTATTAAATATATAATACGAATTTTATATTTATTACATAAATTAGAGTTACAAAGAAAAAAATAAATTTGATCACTAAAAAAATATTTTCTAAATGTACTAAAGTAGATATAATAAGTTTCTTATGGAGTATTTGGTATTTTTAGAATTCAAATAAAATTAAGATTTCAGTCTTAGCAACCTTTTCGATATGCTGCTCACATGAAAGTTTGCTTTAGTTGTTTAGAATTTTGGTGGTTTTCTATTATATATGCTAGTCTTTAAAAACATTTGAAGACTAGTCTTTGAGAAAATTTAGAAGTAGTCAAACTTTAATACAATCTTCGCTAGTGTGTAGGGGTGATTTTAATATTGTATTGTTTAAACATGAAAAAGTGGTGAGTAAAACAAGTAAGAATCTTACATCTATTAGATTCTTTGCTAATTATCTAGATAATTGTGGTATGAGTGATCTATGTTTCAAAAGAACTCCTTTTACTTAGCAGAGAAGTAACTTAAAAAAAAAAAAGATTGGATATAGTTGTTGTTAATGAATTTTTAAGAACTTAATTTCAGAATAGCATGCTTGTCCAAGTTCCTATCCTTATCTATGTTGCTCTTTAACTAAAAGTCATATTTAAGCTTTTTCTTTTTTATGGTCCTAAATTTCTTAATTTTTTAGCTTTTGGGTTAAGAATTTCTTTTTTTTTAACTAATTTTTGGATTAAGAATAATAATAAGTTTCAAACTAACATTGTTGATTGGAATAAGTCCTCCTTTGAAAATATTTTTAATCAAAAATAGAATTTTAAATAAGATTGATGGGATTAATAAAAAATTAACTTTAGGTGACAATCCTTTTCTAATAAATCTTAAGAAATCACATCTTTTTCTTCTTTTCTTAAAGTTAATATTAAAAAACTTAATAACAATTTATTTTTAGATGAAACAAAAATTACATTGTTAATAATTTCAATTAACCCCTCTTGATGGATTGTGTACTTTATTTGCAAATCTTGTGATTTATTACACTCTTTTATTTTTAATTTTATAAAAGAGGTTCATAGAACCTTAAGGAAATCAAGTCAGTCATCATAAAAAATTTGGCTAGTAGACTAAAAAATTCCTTAACTTATTTGATTTTTAAAAATTTGATAATATTATTTTTCAAGAAATATGTTCTTTTAAATTCTTAAGAGGCAAAACTAAATTGATGATTATTAA